CCCCAAAACCCCAAAACCCCAAAACCCCAAAACCCCAAAACCCCAAAACCCCAAACTGAAGAATTGATTGAAAATATGTTAATTCACCGACTTCATCGTGCTTAATGAGCTATTAAATTATAAAGATGGGTACTTTAAGAACCAAAGAAGGGCCAAATTTAACCTTGGCAGCCTAAAGTCCCAGGAAACCGCAAAATTATAGCCGAAAATCCATAAGGATAAAATATTGCTAATTCCTCTACTTAGAAATAGGTAAAGTAAAAGTTTATATTTAGAAATGCATCATGGCGGCTCGAGAGAAAGAAGATGTTAGGATAAAAAGAGGACGGAATGTTAAGACCCATGAAAAGGGAAATAAAGCAATGGCCGATTAATCGACTTTGAAGACTTGCTAAAAATAGATAGTATGAAAATAAGGTCTTCTGAATTTGTCACCTAACTTTAATAACCCTATGTTATAACCTCTTGGAAATTTTATAATTAAGGTTATATAATTGCCGGATTACACGGTATGGCCAATTCTAAGACTAATAGCTTCAGGAGAGTCAGCTATAGCTAAAAATCTGGAATTTTATACTCAAATACCTATCCGATTTAGTACAAAATTGAGCTTCACAGAAAATTTCAATCAATATTTTAGCAGCAAATTTATTATTCACAAAGACTATAGAGGATATTTCTATATTTTTCGAAGTTTTGTTCCTTGTTTTTGAGAGTGGCTAGGAATTCTTCCTCGAAATCGACCTGGATTTTTCGACAAATTTTCTGGAATCATGGGTCCTCGCAAACCTGGCTGAAAACACTTGAGGAAAAACTCTTGCAGCATTTCAGAACTTTGCTAGCGCTTTTGAATTCTTGACTCGATTCCTGCCTGTCTGCCAGAGGCTTCAGATTAAGCATAGTCTGCATGAAAACATGAAGCTTATATTTAATGACAACTTCATCCGAGAATAGCTCAACTCACATATCATAGACTGCTCTAGAGACTTCTGAGTCTGGAGCTTTTGAAAGCTTTCTTAGGAACAGAGGCGAATATCTAGATCTAAAAATGTTCATGTAAAATCTTCTTATTGCTCTCAAGACTGCCTTCAAGACAATATCTTTCCTTGATGAGTACTTGCCTCTTTTAGAATTGAAGAGGGATGGGTCGAGAGTTTGTCTTAGCTTCAAGGAAGACTCCCCTAAGAAGCATTGCATCCTTCTTTTCGGGTTATTTTCTTAAGGAATAACTTTTCTTAGGTGGAGATTTAATTAACTGTGGAGAGCCAGCACCTGTCAAAGTCTGTACATTAAACATCTTCTTCTGAGAATCATCGCTAGGACTAAGGTCTAAAGTGCCGTATTCTTCATTAAACCTGGACAGTTCACTCTAAATTTAAGACCCTCTGTCCTTACTTGATTAATGCTGAAATCCCACTGTGGAAATCCTTGATTGTACTCAAATGTAAATTCTGGGATGCTGTTCATTTTAGAGAAGTATTCTTATTTATTATTTAAGTTCCAGTCTTGTGTCTTTATCTAGGGGTTTTGGGGTTTTGGGGTTTTGGGG